AGATCGTAAAATTGATCTATGCATGATCTATATGCTGAGAACCTGAACCTACATAACGAGAAGATGTAGCGCACGTATGCATCAGTACTTGAAATGTACTGAGCATGTAGGATAGAATGTAGGATAGAATAAAGCTGAAATAAAACATAACTGAACAAGCACAAAAGCAAGTATAATAATATGAACATTATATACTGATTTCTGATCTAACTAGATGCAATGACCAATTTATAACATGCTGAAACTGAATACTGAATATACTGATAAATGGTCAATGCAAGAGAGTCTGACTGAACTGTGGGAGCTACTAATAACCGATAATAAAACCACATGAGGTAAATGTGGAGTCTGATGTGTATGCCCCATCGAGAGGACCCAATATTCCCTGCCAGAGGTATAAAGGCATGCTGATGTGATCACTAAATTGATTGCCCACAGATGGGACTTACAACCTACTTGGCTAGTAGTTCTAGACTAATTGGGTACGCTGAACCCTATTCCACCTTGATATTATGCTACTCCCATTGATTTATGTAGTTAACTAATTAAATCTAAATTTTGTATAAATACTGGATAACTCAAAACTGAATATGCAAACTAAGAATGCAACATTTAATCTGATAATGATGCATTAAAAACTGAAGCATATATGACTACACAACTAAAATATCTGACCTAGCATGTGCAATTCAAGAACTAAAGAAATACAAAGTTAGGGTTTTGAAATTTATGTGATAATCTGAGTAATAACATGATAATATGATCTAAAACATACTGTAATTCTAGGAACCCTAGGTTTGATTATGATAAGAGAATCAAGAACTCACTGAAAACTAGGGACCCAATGGGTGAAAGGAACCCACCAGTAAAATCCCATATACCTGGTGATGAAATTCACGAAAAAACACTTCGGTTTTGGGGCTGGAACTACTGGAACCTTGCTGCGTTCTTGAACTAGGGTTCATGACCTTTTTCTCCTTTTTTGCTTCTAATTTTTTTAAGTTTTGATTAATGATTTGATTTAGGTAAGTTTTAGTTATATTTCTAGGCTTAAACTGACTAAAATCTGATTATTTAGGGTCAAAACGACATATCTTAGGGTTTAAACAAAGTGAGAAAAGACCAAAAGAACCCTGAGTTAGTTGCTGTCGTACCAAACGACGACCAGGACTGACGGTCCATCATTTGGTTCGTAGGTTGGGTTTGTGCGACACGCCTTTACTAAAGTGGGCATAACTTTTTACTCAGGGGTTTGATTTTAGGAAGGTCGATGGCTATGTAAAGCTAATTCAATTATCTCTATTTTTGTAGGTCATGGGAAACCTAATTTATTTTGTGCTAAGGGTTATGATCATTTGAAGTTGACCCAACTGCATTTTCCCCTTAACTGTCTGCTAATTCTCACCTACGGACAGACCTACGCACCGTGGGTCCACCTACGAACCGTGCTTGAAATTTGATAATGGGAATGGGTTAATGGGGTTAATTGGTACAGGTTTATTTTAGATGGTTCGGGTTATTGGGTTTTAAATAGGAAATAGGGTTTTTTTTATAAATTTGGGGTAATTTGGTCAATTTTGGCGATTCTATCTAATGAGGGGCAATTTTGGTGAAGTTAGTACGGGGAGGGATAAAATTAACTTCATTTTAACGAAGAGGGTAAAATCAAACAATAAATCAAAGTTGAGGGGTATTTTTGACCCTTTTCCCATATATTTATGATATAAATATTTTTATTTGTAAACAAATTGTTTATACTTCTACTCGAAAACATTTTTACTTATAAGAGAAGTATCTCAAATTTGATAAATTTATACCATTACTTATCTTAGAGATTTTGAATACCAATATGCAAAAAGATATCCCTCACATCTAGTAAGTATCTGAGAATACAGGATTTTTTTCTCCAAAATTTAAACCTAAAGGGAGTCTCTAAATAAAATTTATCAACAATTACACAAAACATTTCACAATCGAACTGGATCAAATCGTTGAAAGTTGTTTAATTTTGACAAATATATATCTATAAGTAACCGTTTGAATAGAGATAAACTTTTTCCAAAAAAAGTGGAAACGCTGCTGCCGGGGATCAAACCCGGGTCACCCACGTGACAGGCGGGAATACTCACCACTATACTACAACGACTTTTTGTATTGAGTAACATGTTTTTAATTTAACATAACTTTTCATGTCGATATATCTTTTATACAAAATTGATTAATTAATTATAATTGATTAGTACTATATCCTATGATTGATATGGGATATTATTGTGGAAAATATATGCTCACAAGGTGATGATGAAATTTTGCATAAGACGTTTTAGATGAGTTTTTCATTGTTTGTATCATTGAGATTAGGACTTTATTCAACCCGTGTGATGATTCAACATAAAAGTGCCAAACTATACCGTCATAAGAGCTCTTGGAAGTCATTAACATGTTATCCCACGTCCAAACGAATGTGTTCTTACTTCGTCTTTTCATTGGTAAGTCATCAAATTTGTGGCGCCTTTCTTACTAAAAAATATAATAGTGATTCTTTCATCCAACTTGAGTATTGTGCAGTCTATTGATTTCCTTCTCCCTTTTGTGTGTAACTTACCAATTGAATTGTTGCAACTTGCAAAAGTCAGATTCTAAAAAAAATGGTTTTAATTAAGTAATTAATACTCACATAAATGTATTAATAAGTTATAAGTTATTAAAAATTAAATAGATTATCACATAATTAAGTTTATGATTAAAATTTATGTTATATTTAATTGAAGGCGTACAATATAAATTGTCCATTAAAACTTGGGTATTTAGAATCATTGGCAGCTGCAATGGCATCATGTGTTTGTCTGGCGATTTATTTGGTGAATTGCATAATCTTATTTTGTGGAATCCTTCTGTTCAGAAGTTTATAGCTTTACCTATGCCTTCGATTAAGCCTCAGGTGCCTCATATGTTTTTTTTGGATTTGGTGCTGATTTGTCTAGGACCGATGACTATAAGTTGGTTATACTTGTGTATACTGAGAATGATGATGTTATGAATAATAATCTCAAGATTGAAATTCTTCGATTAATAGTGGGGTTTGGAGGATAGTGAGGAGGGTTAAGATTATGTATTTTATGATGAAGTTTATGTGGTCTCAAGTTTTGTAAATGTAGTTGTACATTGGATTGCATATTATGTGGTTGCGAATGGTGGTGGCCTTTGGAGTTAGTTATGAATTTTAGATAGTGGATGAGGTATTTGGGGAGATCATGTTGTCGGATGCTTTAGTTGGTGTAATTCCAACGAATTTATTGATTATGTTGTTTGAAGAATCACTTGCTATTGTTAGATATTAGAGAGAGAGAGATGATATTTCATGTGATGATGAAATAATATGGAGTCTTGGAATCTTGGAGCAGGTTGTATCGTATAAATTTTGTTGCAGGTATGGAGAGAGTAGTTGGATTTAGGAACAACGGGGAAGTTTTATTTTTAACTAGAAGCAATGATCTGATTTCTTATGATCCAAATAGTGGACGCAATATGGGTCTTTGTATTCAAGGGAGGTATCGCTCGTTTTATGTTCAAAGTTACATGGAATCACTTATTTTGCTTAAAGGGAACAATGTCGTTTTATCAAATGTGGTAGACTAGTTTAGAGAGGTAATGTATTGAATGTTGAATTAATTGGAATATCTTTTCGCATTACATTAGTTGTTAGTGTACTCTTGTTGCTTTTTGATATGAAACCTCATCCTAACGAAGGAACTTGTATTTATCAGTTGATTATCATATTATTTTTTGTTGTACCTAATATGATGTTACTATCGTTTTGTTTTCGTTGAGCTAAACATGGTCAGCCCTTTTCGTTATGGGAATTCATCGTTTTATTATAAATCTTTCATTGATTATGATTGATCTTCTTTCTTTCTATTACTTGGATGAATATTCTTGCTTCCTTTTTCTGTGAAGATACTTTAGGTTAATTGTTATTATTAAAACTAATTTAGAAGTATAAAGGGTTAACACTTATTACAAAAGAACATTTAATAATAAAGAATTGAAGTTAAGAAACTATTAGATGTTCAACAATCATTTGGGGGGAAGAAAAAGTTTTCCAATTATTTGCCATAATTGAAAATTGAACTTGTAATAAAACAATGATGGAGAGTCCTAGGTCATAAATTATAAATGTCATATATTAACCCTCATTCAACCTTAACTTACCACATAATTACTCTATAAGTTCATCCATATTTGAAAATAGACTTGAAGTGACCTTCAAAAATAGTTAAACAATGGATTCTCACTTAACATAACACAATAATAAAAGAAAATAATTATCGATTCTATAAAAATAAGTTATCGGATTAAGCTGATTAAATGCAAATAAAAGGTTAAAACTAGTAATTATATGATTGCTGGATTTTCTTGCCTAAAGGTCTTAAACAGAAGATAGTGAAAGAAATAGCTTAGCGATTTTGGCATTGGGTTTATCCCAAATCCAAAATACACTCTGTCACGATTTTTATTAAAAATTATCTAAACTTGTCCTGCCTCGTCTCCTACCCCGGCCCATTGTAATCCCTATATTTAAAGTGAATTTTACCAAAATTGTCTTTAACAAGTAGGGTTTGTCTTGTCCCTCTCTCTCTGTCTCTTTCTCTCAAAGTTGTGCAATGATTGATTCTGACTCCGCCTACATTCCTCCCAAACTTTTGAGAGAAATCCTATTGAAACTTCCTACTAAATCCTTAATCCGATTCATAGTTGTTTGCAAATTATGGCTTTCCATCATCACTAGTTCTCCTTTCATCTCCGCTCACCTCGCCCAAACCCGACATTCCAACACCCTTCTTGTAAGGCGTTACATCGATACTTGCAAAAAAGAGAACTATTCATTGTTTCAAGACTCTAAGAATCAACCCTTTTCCTTGGATCTTATATCGGAATTGAATTACCCTTTCAAATGTCGATGAGCGTATTACAAAATTGTTGGCAGTTCCAATGGCATCATGTGTTTGTCTGGCAAATTGTTTGGTAAGATGTGGAGTCTTGTTCCTCGCCCTTCGATTAGGTCTAAGTCGCCTCATATGACTGTTTTTGGATTTGGTGCTGATCTGCCACAGACTAATGACTATAAGTTGGTTAGACTTGTGTATCATAAGAATGATATGGTCGGGTATAATAAGTATAGTGGTTTACCTGAGATTGAAATTTATTCGATCAATAGTGGGGTTTGGAGGAGAGTGGTGGGGTTTGAGATTCAGCATTGTATTGTGGAGATTATGTCGTCTCCCGTTTTTGTCAATGGATTTGTACATTGGATTATTTATGATTATGTTGCGAATGGTGGCAGACGTCGAATTTTAATCATGACTTTTAATATAGCGAATGAGGTGTTTGGGGAGATTATGTTGCCGGATGCAATAATTGGTGGAACTATGACAAGTTTATTGGTTACGTTGTTTGAGGAATCACTTGCTATTGTTAGGTATGGTATGAGGATGGGGATGTATGGTTATTTCTGTCAAGTATGGGTGATGAAGCAGTACGGAGTTTCAGAATCTTGGAATAGGTTGTGTCATATAAATTTGGTTGCAGGTTTCAAGAAAGTTGTTTGATTTAGGAACAACGGAGAAGTTTTAATTTCAACTAGGGAGAATGGTCTGGTTTCTTATGATCCAAATAGTGGACGAAGTAAGAGTCTTAGTATTGAAGGATACACTTGGTCATTTTATGTCCAGAATTACATGGAGTCACTTATTTTGGTCAAAGTAAACAATGTCATTCCGGGTGGGATTTTGGGAGGAATGGGAGGTTTATGGACTTAATGAGTAGCTGGACTACAAAATTTATTGATACTATAAGATGAAACTGATAAGTACGCAAGGTATCTTACCAAAATTCATGGATGTTTCAAGATATTGGAAGTGAAAGATGTTTTATCAAATTTGGTATCTGTTAATTATATTGTTCTGAATGTTAAACTTTTGTTTTCCATTTACTTGCGTAATTGTGTTACATTAGTTGTACTGTACTCTTGTTGCATTTTGATGTATTTCCAGTTTAATTGTTGTGATTCGTTATCTTTATCAGTTGATTGTCATATATCTCAATTCTGTTACAAGTACTCCGATACCGTAACTTTTTCAAAAATTGCTTGAGGCCATTTCGATTCATCTAGTGTTGTATGAATGTGAAGTTAAATTAATATTTTAAGAAATATTGGTAAGTCGTAAATTAAAAAGAAAAAAATAGAAAATAAAAAAAAGTATTTTTTTGTAAATCAACTGCCCCTACTTTCTAACCCCAAAAACTCCACTTCCATCACTTATTAGCACTAATTAATATTTTTCTTCTTATAAATACTTACTACTCCCATTTCTTCTATGTCATTCACAAATGATATGTCGTCATAGAAAATTACTTCAATTTCTCAACTATGTTTCTTGTGGTTTTATTGCTTTCACCAAAGTGCTCATTCTCGGAAGCTCGATATCTTAAAGAAGACGATCAACAACTAGTATTGTGCGATTGGAGAAAGAGAAACACTTTGAACAATATCTGAAAAGTGTGGCGATCTTTTTATATTTGCAGAGAATAGTCATATCAATGATGATGATGATATTTACCCCGCCCTTGTTCTCAAAATTACATCAAGAAACCTACGACTAATGTTTAATTAGTAGTAATTCTTCATTTTATTTTCAATTTCTCCATGGTTTTAAATTACTCTGTACAATCATATATTTCAGAAAATACTTTCCAATATGTGTTTATGCAATATTTACAATTTAGTAACATCAATGTCAATACAAAATTAGCTAAATTTCTCCGCTTACTTATACAATTGCAAATTCAGACGTTGATATGATCGAGAAAATGTTCAATTTTTCTCCTCAGCATGTTAAGAAAATGAATTGGAGGAAGAAGACTCCATTGAAGAGTAGAGAGAAATAGAGAGAAACAGAGAAGTAATGAAGAAGAGAGGAAAATTTTCTATATCGAAACTGCTTCTACAATACTGCTTACAAGCATATATATAACCACTTGTTATGACTCAAAACCTCTAACTAATTTACTGACATATTCTAACCGACTAACTAACTAACTAACTATATTTACACCCTTAACAATGTACAATTACAGCTAGTATTATTGGAAAACTTGTGTACATTTAGTTAGTTCTTTTACACCCCCCCCCCCTTCAAGCTAGGAGCTATGAAGATGTTCTTCATTCCTAGCTTGGACATTAGATACGTATGATGGCCTTTCCCAAGTGCCTTGGTAAGCATATCTGCAGGCTGTTCTGAAGATGGTAGATAGGCAGTGATAAGCATTCCATCTTTGATCTTCTCTCTGATGAAGTGACAATCAATATCTATGTGTTTTGTTCTTTCATGAAACACGGGATTAGCTGCAATTTGTAATGCTCAAGTACTATCTGAATAAACAGATACTGGTAAAGAGATATCAACTCCCAATTCCTAAAACAAACCAACAGTCCAAATAATCTCTGCAACAGTTGAGGCCATGGCTCTGTACTCAGCCTCAGCTGAACTTCTGGAAACTGTAACCTGCTTTTTAGACCTCCATGAGATAAGAGATTCTCCATATTTGATGAAGTATCTAGTGATTGACCTCCTGCTGTTTATGCATGAACCCCAATCAGCATCACAAAATACCTGTAAACTATCTCCTCCAGTTAATGACATTAGAATTCCCAAACCTGGTTCTGTCTTCAAATATCTGACCAGTCTAAGTGCTGAATCCATATGTGAAACTTTTGGTGCATGCATAAATTGACTTAGACACTGACCTGCAAAAGATATGTCTGGCCTAGTGGTTGTGAGGTACAATAACCTTCCAATCAATCTTTGATAACTTGCAGGATCCTCAAGAAGTGTATCATTATGTGAAGAATTCATGTGATCATCATATTCTGTGGAGGTGAGTTTTAAATTCATTTCCATAGGTGTTGATACTGGTTTAGCACCTGATAACCCCATATCAGCTAGTAACTCCAAAGTATACTTCCTTTGATGTATGAGTATGCCAGTGTCACTTCTAGCAAACTCCAATCCAAGAAAGTATCTTAGTTCTCCTAAGTCTTTAATCTTGAATGCATGTTGCAATGCTTCTTTAGTTTCATGAATCATATTGGAATAAATCATCTACTGGAATAAATCATCTACATATACTAATACCACTACTAATTTGTTTTCCTTCCTCTTAGTAAACAAAGAGTAGTCTCTACTGCTCTGTATGAACCCTGAATCAGTCAAGGTAGTGGTTAGTTTAATATTCCACTGTCTTGAAGCTTGTTTAAGACCATAGAAAGATTTCAATAATTTGCAAACTTGATCACTGCCAACTGTTCTATTAAGACCATCGGGAGGTGTCATATATACTTCTTCATATAAATCTCCTTGTAAAAATGCATTGTATACATCCATCTGATGTAATGTCCAGTGATTAGCAGCTGCAATAGAAACAACTGACCTCACAGTTGCCATCTTCACCACTGGAGAGAAAGTTTCTTGGTAATCAAATCCTTCATTTTGATTGTACCCCTTAGCAACTAGTCTAGCCTTGTATCTTTCTACACTTCCATCTGCATTATATTTGATCTTGTATACCCATTTACATCCTATAGCCTTTTTATCCTTAGGCAATGTCACCAATTCCCATGTTCCATTATCTTCTAGTGCTTTGATCTTATTTTTCATAGCATCTACCGATCTAGGATCTTGTACTACCTCTGAGTAGCTTGATGGTTCAGTCTCAACAAAAAACATTGAAATAAAACTCTGATATGTAGGTGACAATCCTTCATAGTCTAAAACTGAGGCAAGAGAATAATTGCACTTCTTAGAACCAGCTTTGACTACATAATCTTTGTGCCAAACAGGTGGTCTAGAATTTCTGCTTGATTTTCTCACAGGTGATGGAGTAATGTCACATGAAACTTGTGATAAATCATTTTCACAATCCTCACAATTATGAGAAGAAGAAACATTGTCTTGGCAAGTAGCTGAAGAAGTAGAATCTGCAACTAGGACATCATAATCAAACATGTCTGATGGATGTATATTTTGTGTCTGTTTAGGAGTGTTATCATGAAAAGGAAAAACTGTTTCCAAAAATATTAAATCCCTGCTAATGAAGAATCTCTTGTTTTCCAAATCATACAGTTTGTATCCTTTTTGAGTTGCACCATATCCCATCAAAATAGCTCTTATTACCCTTGGACTAAACTTATCATGTGTGGTAATATTAGTGGCAAAACACATACATCCAATGACTCTCATGTAGTCTAAAATAGGAGGTCTTCCATATAGTTTCTCAAAAGATGATACATTCCCTAAAGTTGTAGAAGGAATTCTGTTCAACACATGAGTAGCAGCATGAATACATAGTCCCCAAAATTTGTCAGGAAAACCAGCTTGAAATTTGATAGCTCTTGCAGTTTCTAGAATATGTCTATGTCTTCTTTCCACCACCCCATTTTGTTGAGGTGTATATGGACAAGAACTCTCATGAATGATACCATGAAGTTTGAATAAATCATCACAATTGGTATTGAAGAATTCAGTACCATTATCAGATCTTATTCTTTTGATCCTTTTATCAAATTGAGTTTCTATTTCAACAACAAACTGTTTTAGCAAACTAACAACATCAGATTTAAGTCTCATTAAGAAAGTCCAAGTCCATCTAGAATAGTCATCAACTATAGTCAAAAAATATCTCATACCATCATATGTTTCAACTCTATAGGGACCCCAAACATCCATATGTAGAAGCTGAAAAATACAAGTAGAACTACTAGTACTGTGTGGAAATGCAATCTTGTCTGTCTAGCAAGAGGACAAATATAACATTTATGTAAAGTAAACTTGTTACCAAACTTGTGAAATGATGAAATCTTTCTGATGACTCCCATGGGAACATGTCCCAGCCTTTGATGCCATATATTTGCATTTACCTCCACACTCTGAATGGTTGTCATGCAATGCTGTGATTGTAATATCTTGTGACTATACTGACCATGCTGAGAGTAGAAAGTGTAAAGTCCATCTTCCTCTTTACCAATCATTTTCACCTTCCCAGATCCTAGGTCCTGTAAAACACAACAATTTTGGTATAATGTGACACAGCAATTCAAGTCTTTTGTCATTTGAGACACTGACAAAAGATTGAATTTGAAAGCTGGTACACATAACACTCTTCTAAGAACATCACCTCCTCCTATGTGACAATCTCCAATATGTGAAACCTTGGCAGAAGTACCAGTTGGCAACTGAACTTGACCTGCATTCTCTACCATAACTGAATTATATAAACATGTATGGTCTCGTACTATATGATGGAATGCACCAGTGTCTATAATCCACTTCAGAGAAGCATTTGAAGACAAATGATTACCTGTCATATTTGCAGTACCACTTATATCATCAAGTTTAGTTTGATCAAGCATTTTGAGTAGTTTCTGATGTTGTAATGGTGTGAACAAAGGCATAGGCATATGCTGGTGAGACTCATTGTTCTGTGAAGAAGAAACATATGGAGACTACACTTGCATCTGATTAGAATATGATGACTGCATCATCTGAGGCATGTGAGGATTGTAAGATGATTGAATTGATTCTGTCTTATCACATTGATACTGTTGAGATACATGTCCTGCATTATAGATAGAATTCCCAGCAACAATTGTATCCCTTTTACCTTTGTAATCAGCAGGATATCCAATCATTTTATAGCAGTTACTCTTAAGATGACCAGTTTTGTGACAGAAATCACATTTCAGAAGTTTATTACAATCACTCCTCATGTGACCTTTGATGTTGCAGTAATCACAAAAGGCATTTGGATTATAAGATCTCCTAGGTTTATGACTACCAGGACCAGAATTAGATGTAAACATTGCAGTAGGAACCATATCAGACATTACTCTACTTGATCCAGCTACCATTCTTTGACTTTCATCTTGATTAACCATAGCATAGTCTTGATTGATGCTAGGAAGTTGTGACATTAACATAATTTGACTTCTAGCCTGACTATAATTGTCATTAAGCCCCATTAGAAATTGCAACATTCTCTGATGTTGTGATTGCTCAAAAAATTCTTTAGATCTAGAACATGTACAAGTTGGAGGAGGCATTATAGAATCATATTCATCCCACAAATCCTTCAGTCTAGAGTAATACAATGACACAGACGAGACACCTTGAACAAGACTAAAAATCTCCTTATGCAACTGAAAACTACGAGAGCTATTTACCTTGTTAAACCTCTCCTTAAGATCTTCCCAAATCAAGTATGAATCTGAGCAATAAAGAACTCCACTATGAAGATCTTTACTTACATTGCACAATATCCACGAAACAACTATAGCATTACAGCGATCCCAAAGTCGAATCAAATCCCCTGTGAACTGGGTCTTCTTCACTTTTCCATTGATAAATCCAACCTTATTCTTTCCAAGCAAAGCTAACTCCATAGCCGTACTCCATAAGGTATAGTTATCACTTCCAGTGAGTAAGATCCCAACATTCAACGATCCAGGTGAATCTGATGGATACATATACAGTGGATGGAGATGATCTAAAGAAGAAGCTGGTATGGAAGTTCCTGAAGCAGTTCCTTGAACCTCCATGAAATCGAAGAAGAAGAAAATCAACAAAATGACGAAATCCTTTACTGAATGTGTAAGATCTGTTCAACCAAGCTCGTATGGCTTTGATACCATGTTAAGAAAATGAATTGGAGGAGAAGACTCCATTGAAGAGTAGAGAGAAACAGAGAGAAACAGAGAAGTAATGAAGAAGAGAGGAAAATTTTCTATATCAAAACTGCTTCTACAATGCTGCTTACAAGCATATATATAACCACTTGTCATGACTCAAAACCTCTAATTAATTTACTGACATATTCTAACCGACTAACTAACTAACTAACTATATTTACACCCTTAACAATGTACAATTACAGCTAGTATTATTAGGGAACTTGTGTACATTTAGTTAGTTCTTTTACAGCATTCAACACGAATTGCTTAAACTTTTCGATATTCCCTTGCTTTTTTAAAGAATGAGATTTTCAGAAGCTGTTTAGCAGTTGGCCTCTTCTTTGGATTCTTCGAAAGACATTTCACAACCATCTTCTCAAACTTCTCCGAAAACACCTTTTGTTTATTGAATCTCCATTCCTTTAGCTTCTCGACGATCAACAACTTTTGTTGCAGAAATCCAAATCCATACTGTGAGAGATCATGAGGGTTGAGTAGAGAGTTAGTGATTCGAATATGGGGTAGGGGAGCTCCGAGTCATGTACAAGATATATTGATCATATGTACGTGTAAGTGAGGTCTGCGGAGGGTAAAGTGTAAGAAAGCATAACCATTAATAAGAAAAAAAGGAATGTGTTTGATCAAATAGTCTATTATAACTGGAAATCAATCAAACAGCCCAATTTGGTGTTCATAGAACAGATGCATTATCTACAAAAAATGACCAACTTCATATGAACATATAAACGAGAAACAGAAGGAAGAAGCAGACTACAAATCCGCACAAATATATAGAACATATGATCCTCAGCTAAGAAAACAGATCATTTCATGCCTTAACCTACATTGATCTTTCACTGATCAATTAACACAAATTGCTTAAACTTTTCAAAATCATTAAAGAACGGAGTATTCAAAAGCTCAAAAGCAGTTGGCCTGTCGTCTGGATTCTCTCTAAGACAAGAAAGAACCATCTCCTCAAACTCCCTCGAAAACACACTTTTCTTTCGTTTAACTAAATCCATCACTTTCTTCAATTTATTATCCCTCTTGATGATCATCTTTTCAAGTGATTTTGGAAATTTCTTCTTCTCCCTTAACTTGTTAATTATATAATTCAAGTCCGTTCGATTCTTCACAGGTAAATTCCCATACACCAATTCCAGTGCTGTTATTCCCAATAGCCACATATCAGATTTTTCTCCTCTGTTATCCTCATTTTCACTACCAAACACCTCTGGTGCAGCACCCCACATAGAAATATTATTCGGATTCAAAAACAATCTACCTTGTTCAAATGGGGATCCGGAGTCATAAACGGATAATTCAAATGCTAAGTTGATCGACACTTCATTCGTATCATCGTTGATGTTAACAAAGATATCTCCGGCATTCAAACTCTTATGAACAGTTGGACGGCAGAAATCATGAATTTCATCTCGTAGACCAATAAGTACTTGTTTAAGAACAACAGGAATGAGATTCTCTGGCAATTTCTTTTCAGGACGAGTGGAGAGAATAGAACGAAGCGAGCCCTCAGACATATAAGGGAAACTAACGCATAACAAATTCGAAGCAAAGAAAGTTTTCTTGCTTCGAATTATTTTGGGACACTCAGGTAGATAAAGGTGAGTTTGAAGTTGATGTTGAATCAATTTGAATTCATTCCGATGGAGTTTCATGTCTATGATCTTCAAAGAGACATAGCCACGAGGAACGGGTCCGCTAGAGCGAGGCTTATTTCTGGAAAACAGAGCTTTGTAAACAGGGCATCTTCCATTAGAAAAAGACCCAATTTTCACGATGAGAAGATAAGTATCTTTTGTGCATTGATTAGTGATGGTTACTCCAGGTCTTGGTTGATTTGAAGAAGAACCATCTTCACCAATATCTGTTTGCTGTTTCGAAGAAGAACCAATTTCCGTTTTGGCACTGAATGGGTTTCTGGAATCCATGTTTTCTTGGACCAGAGAATCACAGTTGCAGAAAAAAAATGGAATTTGGTTTGTGAAGAAGACGAAAATGGAAGAAGAAGAAGATGTCTTTATAGCTTTGGCCGTTTGGGTTGTTACCCCCACCCCCCACCCACCCCTCTCTTTTTTTTTTTGAGTCAATTATGCTTATGGTTCGGCTTATTGAATATCGATTTGTAAATGTATTAATTCGCTAGTCAATTTGCAAACCAATAAAATATTTATAGCTTGTATGAGTCCACCACAAGTCAACATACCAGATTCTTTGACACAAACAAGAACTATACATAATGTAATATTTTGAGTAAAGAATAAAGGATGTTTACGTGAAAATCTCCTTGTTGAAGGAAGGAAAAAATCATGATTGTGTATCATAGGATTTAAGCAACAACTTCACTAATCAATGAGTAAAGATTTAGATTACAAACTCTTACAACTTAGGAATTAAACCCTTGAGCCCTTCATTTTTTGTAATAACTCTACAACAAGATCCATCGACAAGCTAAGATTTTAATCATTCATATTCAGACGTCTTAATTTTAATGAAAACAAATGAGGTCGAGGACTACGACTTATATAGATGTTTCTTCTATTTTCTTAAATACTTCTAGTACAACAATCTCTTTCTTCTCTATATATTTCATAAATATTATAACTTCACATGTTTCCTTAGATGTGTATTATATATATCATGACATGTAATTAAAAGGTATTTAATATGTGTTCTTTTGAATTATAAAAGTGTTTTATAAGAACAAATCTTATTTAACATAGCGCAACAAAGTACGTGAACAACTTTAAGTGATTGCTAATGACTTACACCATCGAAGAAAGTTGTCCAAACGAGAAATATGGGATTTGGAGATTTGTGTGCGCTCCTAGCGTCCGGAGTTTACTCACTCTCCCTGTGTTTTGGACTAGAACTAGTCTTTATTATGGTTTATCTTCCGGAGAAACGACGTTATTTTTGTATTGATTTGAATCTCTTTTTTTCCCTTTGCTTCTTATCATTATGGTTTATCTTCCGAAATTATTTTTTTCTCCGCAATAGTATGTCGCCACTAGTTTCAGACTATGAGTTTCGCTTACCTATTGGTGGGATGTAGTAGGTGTTATCACAATCTGGATTTTTGGTTGTGACAATCATACCCTAGGGCAGTGGCGGACCCAAGAATTTTGTTCAAGGATTTCGAAAAATAAAAATATTAACGTGTAAATAAATTTTTAAAAATGAGACCCTTGAATTCTTTTAGGTGTAAAACCACGAGACCCTTGAATTCTTTTGGGTTTAAAATCACATTTTTAGCACTTTTTTTTAATAAACAACACTAAAAAAAATTGAAAACCAGAGCTGAAACTAAAAGAAAAACTAAAATTAAAAAGGAAAAAAAAATAAAACGCTACTACAATGATTCGAACTGGTACACAAAGCTAAATTCCAAGGAGACTTGCCACTGCACTATCAATTTCTCATTGTCATAAAGAGGGTTAAACATATTTATATCTATAGAAATATATAAAATTTACCTTTTATATATCATGTAATTTTTTATGGAGGGGTTTCGGGTGAGCCCCTGGTCTAGGGTGTACTTGATATAGAGATAAATGTAATTTTACCAAATCACATTATCAAATATAAGTTATTTAAACATTAAAAAATAAATAATATTTGATAGTAAGAATAAAGAAGATACAACATGATAAGCTATTTATTAATTTTATAAACCGAACAAATATTAGATATTTCAAAATAAAATAATGGAAAACAAAATAATAAACCAATTGAGTAAATTTTACTTATAGTAATAACATTTCAAATTTCCAAAAAAGTTTTGTTCCCTCAAAAGAGAAAGAGAGTGTTTTTGGCCTCTAAAATCCAAACTTAAAATTCTTCTATTCATTACAATTTTCAACTTAAAATATATGTAGTTGGAGATGGAGAAATATCTTAAAAGTAGAATGACTTTTTTATATTATTTGGCGAGTGACGTCTGTGAAGGGTAAAGTGTAACAAAACAATGAAGAAATCGATAAACAGCCAAATCGAACATACGGATGAAGAATGAGATGAGAAATCCAGCAGAAGTTCCATTTCATGTACTACACAATGGAGTATTATACATCAAGAAATTGCTTAAACCTTTCAATAGGACTAAAGAATGGAGTTTGAAGATCATCTTTTCGAGTGATTTTGGAAATAGCTCAGGCATTCAAACTCTTATTAAGCGTTGGAGTGCAGAAAACATGAACTTCGTATGTAGACCAACAACTACTTGTTTAACAACAACAGGAATGAAATTCTCTGGAATTTTCTTTTCGGGACGAGTGGATGAGAATAAAACTAACTGATCCCTCAGACATACACAGCAAAGAAAGGCATAATGAATTCGAAGCAATGAAAGTTTCCATGCATCGAATTACGTTAGGATTCTGAGGTTGAAAAATGCAATATTTGATTTATTATCACATAGCTACGAGGGAAGGGTCTGCCAGTGCCATACAAGAAATGTATTTATAGCATTGGCCCTTTGGGTTGTTATTTCCCCGCCCTTGTTTTATTTATTGCTTCAGTAATACTTAGTAAAGAATAAAGGATGTTTACGTGGAAACGTCTTTATTCAAGGAATGAAAAACCACGACTGTCTCGGCAACAACTTCACTAATTGCCACCTAGTAATTGAACCCTTAATCCCTTCCCTCTATTTCAATATCGATCAAAGCAATGACTCCATTGGCCACTCTATTAACCAACTCTAGTTAACATAGATATCACTCGAAACTCGACAAACCTAACTCTAGCTATGAACTCAACTTGATAATGGTTACAACTGAAATGATCAATAATCCTTTGTAGTTTAGGAATATATCTTAACACTATAAGAACACAAGACATTAACTAAAGACTACACTTGATCACTCGATCAGGTCGCTTAATGCTTCCTTGAGAGAAAATGGCTTTTTCTTTTTCTTGATTGCAAATAAGCTAGTGCAACTCCATTGACTGAGGACTCTTGCACCTCTTTTGCCTTGCTCACCAATCACTATAGTTGTCCTCTGTAGTCTGTCTTGAATGTCTGCCACGCAGTTCCCTCTATCAAATCTCATAGTTTGTTAACTCATCAAAACTTCACAATATAACATTTTCCTTTTTTTGATGATGACAACCTATATCAAACGTATTCCCCTGTCAACTATACTATTGGTTCACGAATTCCCCTTGTTAGTATGACCATATCCGGACCAACTAACCTGCATCAACAGAAATCGTCCCCGTTTTGACATCACAACAGAAGTCTTCCACCAACAACAACAAATCCCACTAAGTCACGTCTACCGAGTGTAAGAAGACAATGAAGGAAGTACAACTATTAATGAAATCCGCTTTGCCCCGTCTGCTGTCAAGAAATCAATCAACAGCCTAATTTGGAGAACCAGAATTCATTTGCTATTCATGAACAGATGCATCCTACTTTTCATCCAAATAAATGAACAGAAGACAAATTCACAGAAGTTACATTTCATGTATATAAACCATATGGCCCTCAACTAAGAAAACAGATCATTTCATGCCTAAAACGAAAGTAGTACACATTATAACATCATAATCCATGAATCTGCTATTACTAATACATTGATCTCTCACTGCTCACTCAACACAAATTGCTTAAACCTTTCAATATCACTAAAGAATGGTGTTCTCAAAAGCTCATCAGCAGTTGGTCTGTCGTCAGGATCCTCTCTAAGACAAGAAAGAACCATCTCCTCAAACTCCTGCGAGAACACCCTTTTCTTTCGTTTAGCAAAATCCATCACTTTCTTGAGTTTCTTATCCCTCTTAAGGATCATCTTTTCAAGTGATCTTGGAAATTTCTTCTTCTCCCTTAACTTGTTGATTATATAGTTCAAGTCTGTACGATTCATCACAGGTAAAGTCCCATACACCAATTCCAGTGCTGTTATCCCCAATAGCCATATATCAGATTTTGCTCCTCTGTTATCCTCATTTTCACTCTCAAACACCTCTGGTGCAGCACCCCATATAGAAATACTTTTCGTATTCAAAAACAAACTAGCTTCTTGGGGTTCTAAATCATAAGTAGAAATTTCAAATGCTAACTTGATCGACATTTCTTTAGTATAATTGTGGATGTCAATAAAGATATCTCCGGCACTCAAACTCTTATGAAGCATTGGAGTGTAGAAAATATGAAGTTCGTCTCGTAGACCAAGAAGTACTTCTCTAAGAACAACAGGAATGAAATTCTCTGGCAATTTCTTTTCGGGACGAGTGGAGAGAATGGAACGAAGCGATCCCTCAGACATATAAGGCAAAACAATGCAAAACAAATTGGCAGCTATGAAAGTTTTCTTGCATCGAATTATGTTGGGATTCTTTCGATAAGTAACGCGTGGATGACTTTGACTTAGAACCAAGTGGAGTTCATGCTCATGGAGATTCATATTGACGATCTTTAAAGTGACATAGCCATAAGGGATGGATTTACCAACGTCAATCAAATATTTGAAAAACTTAGCTTTGTAAACAGGGCAATGTCCATTAGAAAAAGACCCAATTTGCAAGTTGAGAATATAAGTATCATTGTTGTCTGGATCAGTGATGGTTTGTCCAATTCTTGGTTGATTTTCCAAATCCAATGAACCAGTTTCTGCAACTCTGCTTCTTGAAGAACCAATTTCGAAATCTTGTGGTTGTTTTGAAGAAGAAACAATTTCCATTTTAGGACTGAATGGGCTTCTGGAATTCATCTTTTCTTGGAGCCCAAGTTCAGAAAAAGTGGAATTTGGGATGTAAGGAGAAGAAGAACAAGAAGAAGAAGAACCAATTCCTGTTGGTTCTTCTGGAGAACAACCAATTTCCATTTTGGGACTGAATGGGTTTCTCGAACTCATCTTTTCTTGGAGCAGAGAATCACAGTTTCAGAAGAAAAAAATGGAGTTTGGTTTGTGAAGAAGACGAAGATGTATTTATAGCTTTGGTCATTTGGCATTCAACATTTGTATAAGGGGAATTTTCACAAATAATCATTATAATAAAATCAATTGTATTTTATAGTTATAGTTTGTATATTTATCGTTGTAATTATAGTTTAAATTGATTCATTTGTATAATTCACATGATTTGTATAATTTGCGAGTAAATTTGTACAATTTGCTAGTATATTTATATAATTGAACTATTTCAATATACACTCAAAATGACGAATTTAAATAAACACAAAATCTGAATTTTAAGCAATTATATAATTCATATTATAAATATTACATTACAAATTTCGAATTATACAAACTCGAAACTTCAGCCCACGTGATTATCACTGAATGTTGATCGTGAATGGTTAATTAATTAAAACTAATACTATAATAACTAATTAACTAGTTTATATTTGCTTAACCATATATTTTCCCCTATTTTTATTCTCTTGCAACTTTTGGACTGTCATTTTTTGTTTATTATATTTTTTTGTTGTATTTATTGTTAATTTGTTATAAATAATTGTATAATATTATTATGCTTATATATAATAATATAGTTTTTTTAATTGTTTAAAATGTATTTTTGTGTACCAATATAATTTTGAGTTTTAACATCAATAATGCAGTAGATAGAAGATCAGAGAGAAAAAGGGGGAAGAAATAGTTCTCAAAAGCCTTATTTCACATTTTCCCCATATCACCCCTTATAGAAGTGATAAAGAGTAACAAAACTGTACTTTTTTTCCTTAAAAACTAGGGTCATTTGGTACAAATATTAATAATATAGGAATTGATATTACATTTAGTGTAGGAATTAGTAATGCAAGATCATTTTTATCAAGTATTTGGTTTATTAATTCCCACCTCATTTTGGGTTTGGATTAAAATTTTATTATAATAATAAAAAATTCTTTCCAATTATACTCTTAAATTATTATGTAATTGTGTTAAGGTAGATAATTGTCGGACGATGTTATTTTTTATGTCTTCTAACTAGCTATGAGAAGAACAATTTTGTTGTCATGTTTGTCTTTTTTTTCACTTAATTTATTTGAGGATAAATAATTATCGACTTAGTAAATTGATCACTTACGAAATGTCAATTTTTAATTTAAAAACAATAAACTATCAACTTTCAAAATTGAAAAGACAGTAAACAATAGTAAAATTGAATAAACCATCTACATTTACACATAAAAGTTACAGTTGTAGTTTTAATATATATGTATGCAATTTTGTCAAAATTATTCAAAATACAAATTATTATAAAAACACACAAAAGTATATATAAACCAATTATACATTCAATTAAGATCACAAACTCCATGTGATGATATATTGCCTTTTTAATTAGTTAATATTAAACACCTCACATTTCAAATATTGTATTAATTTGTATTGGATTTATTTAGTAAAAACAACTCTCTCTAAATAATTTGTAAGTTAATTTATTTAAATAAATTTACTAGTACAAATATAAAAATAAAATCAAGAAAATAATCGAAACAATTAAAAAATATTTAACGGGTATTTTCATCTTAACATAGACTTATCCCATGATATTATATCCCATAATATATGAACTATTTATTTTAATACAACCTACCAAACGACCCCTAATTATTTTAGTTAACCCAAAATAGGTCTAGATGTAGTAGGCTAGTAGCTGCAATGATTTAGTAGCACACGCGATTATCATTTACAGTAATGAAGTTCTTATTTTGCTTATTTATTTGACATGCATCACAAATAGGGGTCACAATTTCAACCATATTAATGAAATGAGTCAATTTTATCCATGTTTACTGACTTGGATCACCCATATCTATTTTAATTGGGTAAATAAGGGCTTCAAGTTATTTAAGAGTTCCTAATAAATATGATCAAAATGGGTAAAATATGAATATCCATATAGACCCATAATAGATCACTCACTTTTCACTTTTACTCAAAATTCTAAATTGTGCTAAAAATAAAAATTTAAATATTAATTTTTAATTTTTAATTTTCAAAAATATTAATTTATTTTTCAAAAAAAAATTGGAGGGTGGATGGGGCTGAGAGGGGAAAGGGGCAGAGGTGGATTCTTTTTTTGAAAAACAAAAAGAAGTCGAGTAGGTTGGGTTGAGGGTGTGGGGGCGTCCGAGGGAGGGGGTGGCGGAGGTAATAATGTTTTTTTAGTTGGAAAAACATAATTATTGTTATAAACAATTTGTATTAGAGTGAATGTCTAATTATGTGGAGTCTTTTTGGAATATGATTAGAAATTCTACTTGGAGACCAAGTTAGGTTTTCCCTATAAATAAAGAATTTTCCTTCATTGTAAATAAGATTTGTGAAAGATCCATGAATCTTGAATATACTTCAAGATGAATAAGTAGTTTTTTCTATTCTCCCTACTTTGTTCTTCTTAATTAATATAGTTTCATAACACGTTATCAGCACGATTGTTATATTCTTAAGGAATTATGATAGAAGACGGGAAAAGAGCAAAAAAGATCTTGCATAAGTTATGCAATAAGGTTGCAACAAGGTTCTTATATCTTCAAAGTATGATTTATCTTTAAGTTATAATTATTTATGTAACAGATCTGGAGTTACCATCTAGAGTAAGTATTTAAAGAGACTTGTCGACTTTTTATACGTTTAATTTTAACCGATTGGGAAGAGAATTCTTTAATTTATTTTAATAATTAAATAAACACAATTTAGTGAAAGGTATGTTTTCAACCTTTATTATGAGGTAAATGATCTATTAAGTTATATCTATTAATTATTAGTTTTAATTATAATAAATCAATAATCTCAATTTTGTGAGTAATTATAATATACGATCATAATAATGATCATCAAAAGTGATGAAATTACAATTATTTTCAAGGCTTGAGGTTGGGCCTCATTGTGGGTAAGACGATAAATTTAAGTTTTATCGCACCAAAAAAATAAGACGATGGATTTACATCCATTCACACCAAGAGGGTAGATGAATTTAAGTTTTATCGCATCAAAAGAATAAGACGATGGATTTACATCCAATCGCACCAAGAGGGTAAGAACATTCGGTTAAAGCCCTGGTATACCACAATGAGAAGATATTGGATTCAAGTTCCATCGAGTTATGGCCTAAGACACTTTTATATGAATAAGATATTGGTTTTGAGTTTAATGGACCATATTGATAATATAATAATGATTAAAGAAAAACTAATGTGTTTTTTATGAGAAGTCATGAAATTTACTGAATTTTCTCCATTACTTAAAGTGAATGTGGTAGTAGTGTAAAATATGTCTGAAAGAAGACAAGTGATTGAATAATGCACATAAATATGGAATGAAGTACTAAAACTATCATAATTTGGACAATAATGCACATAAATATGGAATGAGGTACTAAAGCTATCATAATTTGATACGCTCACATGTTTGTGCTCCATTCATGAAGAATGAGAACTTTTGATAAATGCTAAAAATAAAGTTCCATTCTCCAAAGGGAATAGGGTGTAAGCAACCATAGCATGAAAACGATTGCGTCACTTGGTCAATGATGTGGTATCACCAAGAATGTCTGTAAGAAGACATGTATTATAGAAAAGTTTAATACTTTATCTTCAGGCTTGTATTGGACAAGAATTAGTGCAATTGAGGCACATTCTATGGTAAATAAGAAGTTTACTAATTCCAATACTTTCTTAATTTGGCATGATTGTGTGGGACATCATTAGTCTATAATGTTTAGACGAATCATGGAAAATTAAAATGGATATCCATGGAAGAACCTAAAAAATTCTTTCAAATGACGATTTTCTTGTACGTCTTGTTATCATGACAGGTTAATTATGAAACCATCATAAACGAAGGTTGAGATTAAATCCCCTGCGTTCGAGGGACGTATAAAGATATTTTTGGACCTATTCATCCACCTAGTGGATTGTTTAGATACTTAATGGTCATAATAGATGTTTTTTTCTAGATGGTCTTATGTGTGCATACTGTTATCTCGCAACTTGATGTTTGCAAAAGTATTGACATAAATAATGTTAGTCTATTCAGTGATGGAATCACGACTCACCTCTACAAGATGTAGAGTAATTAAAAAAATTAAATATGAAAAGTTGAATTTTTCTTATATAATAGTAATAAATTGAGAATTTACTAAAGCAAAAAGACACATGTCATAGTAAACTTGAAGTTTACGAGTACTAAAAAATTTATTGTTGGCATAAATAATCCGGTCATCCAAAAGATGTGCATACTAAGTAATGAACATACATAAAAACCAGAAGATTCTTCAAGAATTCTGTTAATTTGTTGCTTGTTCTCATGACAAGTTGATTGGATCAACTAATGTTGAGACTAAATCCCTAAATTCTGAAAAGTATTAAAGGTGAATATGGGCACATTCACCTATGATGTGATATGATAAAGAGATGCATCTATAAGATAATCACGTGTGTGTTTGTTGTCAACCTGTAGTTTGACATTCGCATAATTGTTTGTGCAAGATAATTGAGTTAAGAGCACAACTTTCAGAATATGTAATCAAGATAATTTATCTTGATAATATTGACAAATATTCAAGCTGGTGTGACATTAAATGTCTCAGAAATATGATGAAATCATTACTTATGAAAATAAAGCTACACGTGTTGATATGAAATATGATATCGCATATAAAAGTAATTGTATGCATCAAAACAATAAATTATGATCAGATTTTCTTTCAATTGATTTATGGTCATAGACCAAATATTTTTCATTTGATTATTTTGTTATGTGGTATATAATCAATGAATATACAATGATGCACAAAGATAGATTCTCCAAAAGATTGAGATATATATTAGTTTGTCTGACATAAGGGGGAGACTAGAAGCAACACAAGAGTT